CCCATGGTGCTCTGCCAGCTGTGGGTGTAGCAGCTTCCTGCAGAGGGGTGGAGAGGTGGCAGTGTGCTAGACTGGTGCATCTGCGTCCCCCGTGAGTCAGAGCTCAGTCATACAGTTCCCAACCTGGTCAAACAAGACGCTCCTGGCTGGCACATGAAATCGTGGTGCCAGCTTCCCCTCCCATCCTAGGTTTCAACAGGCCTTTTAGTACAAAGGAGATTTGGTTGTGCCCACCTGCCAGCAAACTTGATTGCTTTCGATTGCATTGTAAAAAGAAGAGTTCCTCCTGCTTATCACGATTGTACTTTGGTTATAGTGTCAGGCATGGACAGATTAATAGGTTGTAGCTTTAGCAGAGCTGTCAGGGTATTTAACCCGTTGAAGAAAAATTACCTAAGCTGATGATAAACAGGCTTTAAATGCAGAGCAATTACTTAGTGCTAACAAAGCACCATGACTACACACTTTGTCCAAATGCAAAAAGCAAAGTCTTATCAGTGGTTCTGTTTGCAAGAGGACACTAAACGATAACCTTTGTTTGTGCAAATACTTACCTGATAAGATCATCCAAAAGGGAACAGATGAAATTTCTGGTTCTGTCTTGACTGAAAGTTATATTTCAGATTACAAAGTATCAAACAAAAAAAGAGTAATAATCACAAACTAAGAATGCTCAATTCTCTCTTTTATTTGGACCAAAAGTCTCTGATGGTGGGTTTCTTTCCTGCTTGCATTGATTGCGTTTATATCTAGGACATAACAATAAAGCGATTTAGAGACCTTTAACCAGTAGGACTTTGGATTTCATTGTTCCCGGGAACTGGCAAAGCTAGAGGGCTGTTTAACATTGAACTTGGTTTGTTCACTTCACCTAAACCCTGACTAGGAGCCAGGGCTTACAGGACTTCAATCCTGTGACTCATCAGTGGTGAAACTGGTCCAGGAGTTTCCAAACTGTGAAGGCTTAGAAGGTGCTTTTAGCGTGATGTGCTCTTGATACCATTTGCCTCTCCAGGGTCACAGGTCACACCCTGAAGCAGCAGAGGTTTGAGTTTTTATTGTGATAAGTCTTAACATCTTGCGGTTGACCTCTGTTTAGCTCACTCCAGTTTTTTTCTGTGTTAAGGTTTGACTGAAAGGACACTGTTTATTGAATGCTTTTAATTGACCAACTTTATAAAAAAATCTAGTTAGTTGTAGCACATCGATCAAGAGATTTACAAAACTGACATCTATTATTTTGCTTTCAAATAACTAATCAGAGATTTCCCATTTGGTGTTTATAAAGGACGTTTATATCAAGGGAAAAATAAAAGGCAGGCACATGTTTTGGTCTTTTTGGATCAAGGTCTTGTATTAACCCAAGCACGCTCAAAGCTCCTGATGCAAACCTCATGCAGAAAGTAAATAAGTATTTTCTAGTGAAGCGTTTCTAAGTGTAGTTATCTTAACCTGTTGTGTAGTCTGGGTGAGATTTTTGAAATTAATGTGATTTTAGTTTGATCTGGATGCCTTGAAATACTTTGTCTGGACACTAATGCAATGGCATGGCGTTTGTGTGAGCCTCATCTCACCTGCTGTTCTCTACTGACTTTGGTTTCCTCTGGCCAATTTCAGTTGCAGATGACAGAGGGTTGGAGAGGGCACAGACTCTACTTTCCTACTAGTTACATGAGAGGAGGTGTGCGGGTTGAGAAGCAAGAGGCTCTGAATTAGTCCTGTGTGCCTACTACTGAAAAAGACTTTATATAAGCCATGACCTCACTAGGCTCAGAGAACCTGTGCAGGCAAGCAAGACGTCGGAAATGAGCCATCAGTCATTTTCTTGCTCACTGGACTACTTGGACTGTGTGGATGTCCTGCCCCAACTGATTTGCTTGCATTTTATGATGAATTTTTTTTGAAAATGTGTTTAAGTTGGATATTTTGGTGTCTGTTATATTCTTGTTACCCACCCACTAGAGGCTCACAAAAACTGGCAATGAGCAGATGAGGTTTTGGGAGGTGGCTTCGCCAGTTACTTTCAGGTAGCTCTTGAGTTTTGGTTTTTCCTTCCAAATGGGACTAATAGAAATTTTCTGGATGAGATCTTAATTGCAGACATGCAGCGCAGCAAGATGTGTTTTTGATGCAGTTGCTCAGCTCACCACAGGTGTAGTGAAGACAATTTATATGACTGGGGGCTGAGCATCCTCCTTTTAGGCAGTTTCAGAATTTCACAGTCGTGGGGCTGTATGCTTTCCACCTCTGGTGTTGTGGACAAGTGTTGAAGGCGTGGTTTGCACCTCTGCATGTATTGGAAATCATACAGGAACTGATCTGGTTGCTTCATAAGAAGTTTTGTAAATGCTGTTGTATTTGTGAGCTTTAGCTGCTCAACTGTTTCTCTGTGGCCAATTTTAATTTTTCGAGCCAATAGAAGAACTGCAAATCCAAAACTGGGACCTGTCTTACTTACTGAGGGGTTTTTTATGCCTCAGTTTCCATAGCAATGGAAATAATCACTCCTCTCACTTGAGTGCCAAGTATGTGTGTGTATATATATGTCTTGCATAAGACTGGGAGGGCAGTATCTATTTCTTTTCCCGGAAATAGATTTGGAAAGGAGGAGGTGTGTTGGATGCCTGCTCTGCAGAGCTGTTGCTGCAAACTAACATGTCTTAGGGAAGGCGACAGGTACAGGGATAGGATGTTTGTCATTAGGGCCTGTACTGGCTGAGACTCACAAAGGAATTCATGAGTTTGCTTTTCACCTGCACACTTTTTATTAGGAGCTAGAACTTGCAGGAAATAAAATGCTGTCCTTGAAGGCAGGGGAGTGTGATGTTAGTCATCCATACTAAGTCGCTGACTGTTTCTGCTTTATGGGCTATTCAGGCAATATCCTGAAAAAGGAAATCTTTCATTAGCTAATTGTTTTCCTTAGCAGTACTGTAAGAGCATCAGCAAATAATGCAGTTCCTGGCAAAGCTGCACCACTACTTAGTACCTGTCTGTGTGATCAGGGGAAATTTTAATGAAAGAAATTCTATCTGAGCTGAAAAAATACTAATGCTTCAAAATGCTGTTCAGAGTTGACTCATTAGCAATCAGTTTTAATAAATCTGCTATATGCAAATGAGGAATCCCAGTGTCATATGTTGTCTGATATCTGGATTTTGACTGTTTTCGAGTGATCTTTGACATTGTGCCAAATGTATTATGAAGGCATGATGCAGCAGAACCACTGAAACACATTCACCTCTAAAAGGAGCAGTGGATATCACCAACAGAGCTGAAAGGGGAAAATGGCAGTATCCTAGGGAGACTGCAGCTGAGAATTGGGTGGGCAGAGTGAATATGCTTGGTGGGTGAAAAGGCACAAGGGCACAGTCCAGCTCCAGAAGAGTGCCTAAGATGGGCAGTGCTCTGTTGTCAGTGCCTTACTTGCAGAATTTTTCTCCTTCCACCCCAATAAAGCTTAAATTTTTTTCAAAAGTACAAAAGGACTTATGAGACTTTGTACCACTCAACAGCAGTGAGAAGTCCTAGGCCCTTCAAGACAGCTTTGAAAGCATCAGTTTAAGGTGGTCGCTTAAGACAACTAGTGGAATACAAGGAACTGAGGTGTTTTCATTATTTCTTAGATTTTCAGTGTTCTGTGGAAACATTGCAGTTGGTAGTCTTAGCCCTGTTGATCAGTGTTTCAGCTGATTATGTTGTTGCAACTTCTAAAATATTTTCAGTGAGTTTGCTATGTGCTTTCTTATTAGTCTCACATCGTGATCATGTAAGTTCGTATTGGCCTTTCAGTATCTTTGTGGTTTTTTTGAACATATCCAGTGGTCTCTCTGTTCTCTGCCATTCAGTTCTACCATTACAAACCAGTCCAGAGCTTCATTCGTGCATTTAATAATATCGAGAATTTAATTTCTGTATTGCCTTAAAACTACCTGATTGTTATGTAGGAACAGAGTTCACAATTTCTGCTCTAAGAGAGCACACATGTAGTGTGAAATAGTTTCACCTCTTGAGATACTTGGTTGCTTTATTTGCAGAAGTGATGTGACTCTCCACTCCCCAAAATACCTTAGTGTGCTGTATTTGTTCTGTGTGAATGGAAAAATAAAAGCTGGTCAGGTGGTTTCTCTGTGTGTGCATACAAAGATAGATGTTTTAATTAGATGTACTTTTTCTCTTCCTGACATCTTTATGGCAGATACATAGGTTTTCATAAACTTTTTTAGCTGATATCCACTTGCCTTTACAATGTCCTTTTTTTTTCTCTGTGATGTTACTTTAACCCAGTTTTTCATTTTACTGCCAGTCACTCTCATTAGGACATCTCTTCCCTGTTCAGGTTTCTGTAATTTAGCTTTTCTGAATAGATCTGTCAGTGCATAAGCAATGGTCTTGCCTGAAACCTTTGCTTATTTTAAGGTAAATAGTGCTTTCTCAAATAAGTCATTACAAAGACTACACCAATACATATATTTCTGTATACAAAAGGTAATTGATATCAATCAACTTCATGTTGCAAGAACAGTCTCTGCATGACCTTTTTCCCAATATAGTTATTTCAGTTACAAAGCCATAAATCATGTCTGAAACTAACTGTTACATCTTTGTAGCAGACCAGGAATCTTGTACTAAAATGCATAAGAAATAGTTTTAATTAATACTTTCAATACTTTAAATGAGTTATTTGTTTTTATTACTGGATTAATTGTTTAAAGAAACACCATCTGTGCTGAGGAAGAGCTTTCAGCAGCTCTAAACGTCACTGTACATGACCTGACAATTGGAGAATGACACTGGTACAGCATTTATTCTTATTGTGGAACTGTTGTGCCCATGTGGAATGCTGTAATAGTAGCTGATGCTTAAAGGGTGACATAATTCCAGTTTCTGACAAGCTCTCTGTCCAGCACCATTGTTCTGCAGCTATTTGGTGGGGAGAGGAAAATTCTAAGTTTCCCAGTCAAAAAGATGTGACACACATCCATTTTTCTCTTTTCCAGGATCTTTCCCAGAGAGTATCTTCTCCAGCAAATCCATCTTTACTCTCTTGCAGACCTTCAGCAGGTAAGTGTCCTCAATTAATTCTACCTGTTACACATCAAGCCTGTTCTCACCTTCAGTGCTAATTGTACATTCCTCTTCTAGCTAATCGTGGCATAAGTAGCTGTACTTCCAAGTCATCCCTGTCGTTTATAGTGTAGTATAAAAATGGGTTAACAGGGACATTGGTTAGGGATGAAAGAGAGAAAGCCTAGAGCATCAGTGTTCAAATGGGGCTGGTAAGAGAGACTGAAAGAAAACTGTAGTCTGCAAAGAGAGCTTTGCTCTGAGAAATTTTCATCTGATCAATGAATTCTCATCTAAGTCTCAGCCTGCAGGTGACAAGTAGTATTTATCTCTTTGCTTGAAAGAGTACTTATTCAGGAATTTATGAATTTGTACAGTCCCAAGTGCAACATGATTATTTACAAAGTGTGCTTGGCGTTACCACAAGGGGGGGGGGGAAACAACTTCCCCCCCAAGAACCTCAAAAACCTCAGCAAGCCTGCTACACAGAGTTAAGCTATGCAGTGTTACCATGACAGATGTGACCATGGGAGAGGTAATGTGACAGCAAAATGTGTCTTTGCATTGATATGGATTGAACTAAGCAAGGACCTTTCAGCACATCTGAATGGCAGAATTTTATTATGTAACAGATTAAACAAGGAGGATTTGGAATAAAGAGCTGAAAACAGAGGATAGGGAATCTCAGGTGAATGTGCCGCAGTGCTCAAATGATAATGGAGGAAGCAATGAGGTGAGATGTGCTGGCTGACATGGGGACATCTGTGTTCACGCTCTAAAGCTATTGCCAGTGACATGTAAAACACAGTATTTTAAGCTTCTTTCACCTATGTTTCCCTTCTCTAGTGGTGCCTTTTCTGCAGAATAAGGGTAGCATAGTTCTGGACGTTCAGCTGACACATTAATTCGAAGTAGTTCACATGCCCCTCGGAGATGGAGACTACAGAACAACAGGAAACATGGCTTTTGTTGGCTGGTGAAGTCACAGAGTAAAAATGATGCCATATATAAAATAAAAAGGCCAGTCGCCTGAGGTCTAAAACTGTTTCCACAGCTTTTCAGCATGTTCTGCTATCTCATCCTTAATAATCAAGCCATGAAAAAGCAACCTACTTAACTCCAGTGCTGCAGTCTCCCTGGTGGGCCTGTCTATTAGCCCCCAGTGCTTTGTAAGCTGCTTAATCAGTTCCTAACATTGGAAGTAGATATTTCAGAAGCAATCAGCAGCTTATCAAGCACCCTGGGGGAGGGACGGAGTGTTGAAGTCACAACTCATGCATTGATTTAGCAGTTCCCTTTGACATGTTTCTTTGTGTTTGTGTTTGCAAGACACCTTCTCTTCCCCTGAGGGCCCCAGTCCCAAACTTATCATATTTAGAGGCAATATAATTTGATTACCATTTCTGCTGGGGTGGGTTAAATTACATTTACCTTTTAATCTAGCTATATTGTGTTGTCAGCATGGAGAGGGTTTTCCACATTTCAGAGGCCCCAGGTTTGAAATCAGATTGCCTGTTTTTGTCAAAGAGGAACCAGAGTGGAAAAGAGAGGAGGACCCCATTGAGGAAATGAATCCAACAACCAGATAAATACTAGTACTCTAAACAGCCCCCTTCCTCCTCCCTGCTTTTCCCCTTACTGCCTCTTTCTCCTGATTGCTCATCACTTTCCACTGACCTGCAGTTTGGGTATTTTTAATCCTAAAAGTTTCACTTCTTTTGTTTTGATCAAAATTCAGCAGAGTTTTGATTCCTCTGCTGCCTATTTCCTCATATCCATGGACTGCTTTTGCACTGTATCCTGCTGTCATGTAGATTGTGTGTTTGGGGAATTAGCTAAAAGGTTTATTAAAGATTAATGGAAAGATAAGGCATAGTGAGTGAATTAGAAAAGCAGAGAGGGGTAATCTGCAGATATAAGCAACCCTTACCCTGGTTAGTCCTAGCTGAATTCTGATTTGTTTCCTAGCCAAGTTCCCTTTAAAGGTTCTAGAAAACATGGGTTGTTTCCTACCAAGCAGCCGAGTTTCAAAAATGTGGTGTATCTGTTCTTAGGGGCAAAAAGATTGAAATGCCTGTTTGCCAGTAGATGAAGCATCTTATAATACTATTCTGAAATTAAATCCAATTTAAATCTCTTTCCAAGCTTAACAGAACCTAGATATTGTGAATGCAGCAGAGTATATACTTGGGCTAATGGCTGGTCTGGGAATGGTTGTCACTTGGATCCTTTTGGGCTCTGGTAGGGAAGACTTCAACTGTGAGGCTGAAAGAAGAGTAAATTAAGAATTGCAACAAAATGGCCTTAATTTTGGAAACCTACCAAATCCTGGTGAGGTAGTGGTTGCTAGTACTTGGGTCATTAACAAATGCTTGTAATGCAGATGTGAGTAGGCCTGACCTTTAACCAGAGGCAGCAAGTGATGGTCTTTATTTGTATGTGCACACAGATGCCTATATGTACCCCAGGTTTCACTGCAGACCGGGGCCCTAGAGACTACAACAAAGTTTGCAAGTCTGTCTATGGGCATTTCTGTGGGGTACATGTTCTTAGAATCCTGGTGCTGTTGGAGGTGTTAGCAGAGGAGATAACTAATTAGTTGCATTCAGATTTAACAGGCAGAAACACTGGGACAACTTGCCTCTTCTGCCTTGCTGGCTACACTTGCTTTTCTTTCCAACACACTCTGGTGTCATCTGCCCAGTGAGTCATCTGCTGTGCATCCCCCAGAACACCACTGCTCTTTTAAGCAGTTTGTTAGGAAGGAAGTATTCACTCCTGAATTTGCTGGTTTTAGCAGACAGTACAATGGAAAAATGGATTACTCTTATGTGCAGTACAGACCCTCATGGTGCTGTCACAGTCCAGGGTAGTTTCATCCTAAACCTGCTGGAGGTGTGAACTCTCTTCTCTGCTGACATTCCTAGTGGACATGTCACTGGTTTTGTGCACATGTGGACACGGTTCACGCAAGTTGAAGTTAAAAGCTATCCATTCAGATTGAACACATGTGACTATGGGGCTGCTTTTGTTGAGACTGACAATTTGTTTGGACATAAGTTGACTCAGACAAGACTCTTCCATTTCTTAGGAAAAGTAATTCTTGCTACTTACACCAGGTAACATATTAATGGGAGCTTTTGAATTGAAAGACTTGAAGTGGCTATTGTGACAATTTCAAAATTCAGATGTTTCATCCACACAGAGTTAATTAATGTCTTGCCTGATTTTTATGTTAAATAGCAGGATATATGAGTGTACAAAAATTATTGCAGTGATGACCAGAAAGTTCCAGCTGAACATGAGGAAGAACCTTCTTTACTGTGCAGTGACCATGCACTGGAACAGATTGCCCAGAGAGGTTGTGGAGTCTCCCTCATTGGAGATATTCCAGAACTGTCTGGACTTAATCCTGTGCAATGTACTCGTGGACAGTCCTGCATGAGCAGGGAGTTTGGACCAGATGACCCACTGTGGTCCCTTCCAGCCTCACCCATTCTGTGATTCTGTGATGGTCTTCAATGTAGAAACACTCTTAATCATGGCAATTATTTCATCCTGGTTATACTGACTCCAAAAGATACAGTAAAATAAAAAGGATCCACGTAAGGGCAAAAAGGAGTGGATGTTAAGGATGGAAATTGTGAGCAAGATAGGAGATTTAAAAAGGCAATGATTTGAACACTTGTTTACATACGAACACGCAGGGAAAAATAATGAAGTGACAAAATATGGGAATTTAAAAGGCTGAGTTGAATTACATTGAATCACTGTGTAAATACTGTTATTCAAAATATAAGTGGCTTTCATTTGGTTTATCTCCATTTACTTTGGAAGCAAAGTGAGGCAAATTGTATTAAGATCATTGTCATTCTGAATGTGAATCCTGTACAGGGATTTCCTGTAGTATAATTTATCCATTTTAACATTGTAGATACACTAATCTATTAAAATTTAGCTAAAACTTTTATTTACTTCAGATCAGCTTTCCTGACTGTCTTCCTGCAGATCAGCCTACAAATAATGTGAAGAACAGCACAGAGAAAGGATGAACAGGAGAGCCCTGTTCTCACAATAATGTGGCACAGGTCATATTTAGTGAATATGAGATACACATAAAAAACCTTAATGGAAATGCTTCTTTGCAGAACACAGTGAGCTTGAGGAACTTAATGCCGCAGTAATGTCACTGAGGCCAGAAGTTTATAATCTTTGAGAGGATTAAGTATCCATAATAAGAATGTCCACAGTTACACCACATAAAATAAAGAGATTATAAGATTTCAGAATAGACATATTATACTGAGGGGATTAGGAAGATCTCTCCCCTGTTGACAGACGGATCAATGATTTCATCTTCCTCTGATGTCTTGTAGCACTGATTACAGCATCTGATAGCATTTTGGGCTAGTGGACTGTCGGTCTAGCAGAAGCATTCCTCATAGGAAAATCTCAATGTTTCTGTTCAAGTTCTTGCACATTTAAGGCTCCCTAACAAAGATGTGGAGAATAAAAATGAACTTCAATGAAACAAAAGTTCTGCCTAATTTGAGCCTAGTATATTGTAGATCAGAATGCCTTACAAGAACAAAGAAATTGTTAGTTCTCCTTCACTTTTCTAGGCTTTTAACCCATGCTGTACTTTCATTGCACCTCCTCGACTGAGATGAAGGAGGAGATTGGAAACGCTGTTTCTAGTATTTCTGTATATGCAAAACTTTAGGTTGATTTAGACGAGTTGTTTATCTGTTCCAATAATAGCAAAGAATGCAAGGAGATGTGGGCTTTTTTTGCTTTTTGCTTACTGGGTTTTTTTCAGAAGTAAAACTTCTGGTAACTCAGTCCTTATACAATTACTGAGAAATACTCAGTTTAGATTTATAATATACATCCTCATGAATTCTGAGCCCATCAGTGGTGGTTGCCTTGCCCAGCAGTTCCTTTTTATTCATTCATGGAAAGGATGGGATGTAGCATCCAACCCACATGCTTGTGCT